CTCACCATGGGCCAAGAAGCAACAGAGAGAATTGAACATAGTGAGCCAAAAGAGTTTTTCCTATTTAAATTCTTTCCCTCAACTCTTTATCTGATTATTTTCTGACAGTATTAAGGTGATAAGCTTGGCTTAAATCTGTATCAAGATTAAAATTTGGTCCAAAGCTGCCTCTGTGTGTAACAAACTGTAGCCTTGGTATGTAAATAAACTGTAGGCTAATTTAGAAGTATGTTCTTGCAACAGCTCATTCTCTGCCAATCACAGTAGTCTAGCTCCAGCCAATCACAGGCTGCCAACTGACACACCATGTCCACATGGGGTAAGTGCTGACTGTAGCCAAACAGGTTATCTCCCTAAGCCATTTCCTTTCCTCAGACTGTAAATATAACCACCACAATGGGAGGAATTTGGGACCAGTTCTGCTCCAGAATGCTGCCCCAGAAACTTTCTTGCTTAAATAAACTTCCTTAATTGAACTCATCTCAGATTTGTCTGTAACAATGAGCGTTTCAGTGGGAAAGGTGGTAAGCTCAAAGACATGTCATTGCAAACATCGCCAATCGGAAAGAAGGGGGGGAAGGAATAGAGGGCACAGAGCTAATACTTTAACACCAGAGCGCATCAAAAAGAATGTGTAACATATACATCACAGGACTAACAAAAGGCAAGAAATCGACAGAAGTGATGAGCGGTGAGAGTGTGAATATGATTAGAAATGATAACAGCCGAGGAGTTTCTACAGTTAATGGTAAGAACCAGACCACAGAGCCTAGAAAACCAAAAGCAGAAAGAGACAAAAAGCATAGACATTTAGGCTTGTCCTGAAGAAGCAGAAGAAAATCAAAGAGAAAGGGAAAACCTCAAAAGAAGCCAGAGGTAAAAAGACGTATTATCTACAGGGGTTGAGGATGAAAATTACATCAGAATTCTCTTCAGAAACCATGCAAGCAAGGACAAAACCTATTGTTTTAGCCAACTTTCCGTTACTAAAACAAAGGCCTATAACTGAATTCACAAAAAAGAAGAGGTCAACTTCGGCTCAGTTGTGGAGATCCATCTCTGCCAGGGCAGGGATGTGTCACAGAGCAAAACCATTCACTTATGATGGGAAGGTGAGTAAGAAAGGGAGGGAATGGAGCTCCACAATCTCCTGAGGCTACACCGCCAAGGACCATGGTAAATCATCACGCTCACTGTACTATCATCGCGCCAGTTAGGTTCAGACATCATTGTGAGACCAATTACTCAATGAGGAAAGGAACTGAATTATGTTGGGGTATATGAAAACTAAAACTAAAACTAAACTACTTATAAAGTAATAAACTACTTATAAACAGGAAGGCAGAGGGAGACACTGCCAGCCACCGCCATGACAAGCAGCATGTGAAGATACCGGTAAGCCATGAGCCACGTGGCAAGGTATAGATTTATGGAAATGGATTAATTTAAGCTATAAGAACAGTTAGCAAGAAGCCTGCCACGGCCATACAGTTTGTAAGCAATATAAGTCTCTGTGTTTGCTTGGTTGGGTCTGAGCAGCTGTAGGACTGGCGGGTGACAGAGATTTGTCCTGACTGTGGGCAAGGCAGGAAGACTCTAGCTACAAGTATAAAAAAAAAATTTCAAACTAGAAACACAAAAGAACTAAGGCATTGTGTTGGCTATAATTCTAACACAGGGAGTATTGAATGCCACAGTCCTCAAAGATAAATGCCCTTTGAGTTCCTATGTCCTTTCCTTCTAGGAAACAAAGGATTCTTGAGACTAAGAAGTGAGAAAGCCACTGTGAATTATCCCTAGCTCCCAGCCATAACTGACTCTATTCTTTTTTCTCTTAAAAATTACATTGAGTGTGTTTGTGTGCGTGCGTGTGCGCGTGCGCGTGCGTGTGCGTGCGTGCGTGCGTGCGTGCGTGCGTGTGTGTGTGTGTGTGTGTGTGTGTGTGTGTGTGTGTAAATGACAGCATGTGTGTGGAGCTTGGAGAACAACTTACCTCATATAGGGGCTCAAACTCAGGTCATCAGGCTTGGCAGTGAGCATGTTTACTCCCTAATCCATCCCACCAGGTTCAGGCTTCGTTTCTGTCTTTAACCTCTTAAAGACCTCCTGTGAGGAAATTCCAGTCATCTGTAGAAGTCCCTAGCTGGACTATGGTTTTGGTCCCTTGAACCTGGAAGCTCATTTTTGGTGACCCAAAGACTTGGTGCTTTCAACTATTTTTTCTTCAGGCCCCCCACCCCACCCCGCACATACACATCTATTTTGCTTTTCTCCCCTTTGTTCTTCCTTTTTCTTATTTTGTAAAAAAAAAAACAACAGACAAACAAATAAAACAGCAACAATAAAACCAAAGAAACAAAAAATCCTATCCTTTACTCTTATATTTTTCCCTTTTTTTAAAAATTTATTTACTTCTGTTTTTCTGATATTTGTCTTGCTTTTACTTAATAATGCATTTTGCCTTTAAATTTTTTATTATAGTTTGTCTTTCATCTTGTTAGTATTAATATTATAAAGCAACTACAGCCACAATAATTAACTAAGGGAAATACAATATACTAATGATTAAATTGTGACATCAAGAACATAGACTGGAGGGAGCTGTTGGAAAGTGCAGAGTTTTGGTATGTGATTAAAGTTGTCATCACTAAAAAAACTATAAAATAAGTTCTACGAAGCCTTGTAGTAACCACAAAGCAAACACATATCAGAGAGACATAACAGGTAAAGAGGAAGGAGGGAGAGCATTCTGCTGTTGTTTGAGTGTGAAAAGACCCTCACAGGCTTGTGCTTGTTTGTTTGTGCTTACTGTGAGGTTCATTCATTGAACACTTGAGCCCCAGCTTGTGGTATGATTTTTGAAAGTAGTGAATAAATTTTTTTATTTTTTTTGGTGGGGGCGGCTTACCGGAGGCAATGGGTCTCTGGGAACCTGGAAGACTGGTGCTGGAGGAGACAAAACGTCCTCCAGGCTCACAAAGTCATAGAAGTCTGCCTGTCTGTTGGGCTTCAAAGAGCACTCTAGCCCTGGCAGGCTAGAGACTGGGTCAATCAGGAAACTTTAAGTGTTTTTGTTTTTGTTTTCCCTTACCATGATGGCACGAGACCATAACTCAGTATCAGGAAGAAACTTAGAAAATTCACAAAAAGTATGCCAACAATATTGGCCTGACTGACACAAGGATTTAAAAATCAAATGGGAAATCAATATTGTGGGGCAAACATGAAGGACAGAGACCACACCAGACTTAGGAGAAGCAGTTCTAAAAGGGACGTTCATCCTAACAAGCCGATAATGAAAAGCAGACCGATAGCAGACAATGGATGTTAAACCCCAAAGGGCCTAGGGTACAGCTCAGTGCCAGAACGTTCGAGGCTGCAGTTCTGGTCCCTGCATTGCCAGAATCAAGTCAAAGAAACAAGTCAAAAACTCCATGGAGCAAGAAAGAATGAGTGAAGTCCAAATGTGTAGGAAATAAGGAATATCATCATAGAAATAAATGAAATAGGGACTTGGAAAATAATATAACAGATCTTTTCAAAGCTCGAAAGGTTTTGAAAGATGAAGACATTAACAAACTCTGAGCCTGAGAATAAAAAAGGGAAAACCAATAAATAAAATCAGAAATGAAAGTCAGCAGAAGAACAGGAAAAACTATGTACAGTAATGTGTCAACAAACTGAATGATCCAGAATGGATACATTCTTGGAAATATACAATTTACCAATACTGAACTATGAAGAAATACAAATTCTAAACAGACTAAAAATGAGTAAAGAGATTGGACCTGATATACTTTTCCCCTGAAGGAAATCTTCACTGTTGAATCAATTCTTCTCTCAAACTCTTCTAAAATATTAAAGAGGAGGGAATTTTCCCAAGTCATTTCACGAGGCCAGTACTACTCTGGTACCAAATATAAACAAGGACTCTATGAAAAAAGGACAATTACTGATTAATATTTCTGGTGAATATAGATGCAAAAATTTTCAGCAAAATGCTGCACACTGAATTCAACAGCACTGGAAAAAAGGTTATCACGATGATCAAGTCCATTGTGCTCACAATACAAGGGTGGCTCAAGTACACAAACTGATAAATGTGGTTTTGCCACATCAATCAAGTGAAGGATGAAATCCCACATAATCATATTAACGATGTAGAAAAATCACTTGGCAAATTTAACAACTTTTTAGGGTGATACATTTTGAATGTGAGCTGAAGAGGTGGCTCTGTGGTTAAGAGTAGTTTCTACTTGCAATAGACCCACATTTGGTTCCAAATATTCACATGGCAGATCACCACATCTATAATTCCAGTCTCAGGGCATTCAATGAACTCTTCTGGAAATTTCAGACATTAGGCATACATGTGATACAATATAATACACACACACACACACACACACACACACACACACACACACACAAACACTTGCACAAATAAAATAAAAAAAATCTTTAAAAAAATTGAAAATTGAGCCAGTCATGGTGGCTTTAATCCCAGCATCTGGGAGCCAGTGGCAGGCAGATCTATGTGAGTTCAAGCCCATCCTGGTTTTCAAATCGAGTTCTAGGACAGCCAAGACTTTTACACAGAGAAACCCTGTCTGAAAACAAAAACAAAAACAAATTAAAATTGAATAATAAGGTATAGAAGTAATGTATCTCAACACAATTAAGGCCCTGTGTAAGTCCATACATAATTAGCTAACATGCAGTGCTATAAGCAGTAGTGAAAAGGGGAAGCTTTGATTATCCAGTCAGGGGTTTACAATGATACCCCCAACTGGCCCATTCGGTTCTACATTCCCTAAGGTCCTAGTCAGAAAGTTAGGTAAGAAAATGAATAAAACATGCTCACATTAGAAAGAAATAGATTAAGTCATCTTTATTTGTACATGATATGCACTATAACCTATAGGCTCCACCAAAATCTACTAGAACTAATACACAAATTGGGTAAGGTTGCAGAATATAAAATCAGTGTACAGGAGAGAATCGACCCAGTGAGAGGGAGGTTGCCTCAGAGGGACCTGCGGTGGCAACTGTACCATGGCCGCGCTCTATGGCGGCGTGGAAGGGGGAGGCACACAGTCCAAAGCCCTTTTACTTTCTGAGGATGGGAAGATCCTGTCAGAAGCAGATGGACTGAGCACAAACCACTGGCTGATTGGCACAGACAAGTGTGTGGAGAGGATCAACGAGATGGTGACCACTGCCAAACAGAAGGCTGGAGTGGATCCTCAGGTACCCCTTCGAAGCCTGGGCCTGTCCCTGAGTGGTGGGGAGCAGGCAGATGCAGTGAGGCTCCTGATAGAGGAGTTGAAGGGCCGATTTCCCCACCTGAGTGAAAGTTACATTATCACCACTGACGCAGCAGGTTCCATTGCCACAGCTACACCGAATGGTGGGATTGTGCTCATCGCTGGAACCGGCTCCAACTGTAGGCTTGTCAGTCCCAATGGCTCCGAGAATGGTTGTGGTGGCTGGGGCCACATGATGGGAGATGAGGGCTCAGCCTTCTGGATTTCACACCGAGCCATAAAAATTGTGTTTGACTCCATGGACAACCTGGAGGCAGCTCCTCATGATACTGGCTATGTCAGGCAGGCTATGTTCAACTATTTCCAGGTGCCAGATTGGCTAGGAATCCTCACCCACCTGTATAGGGACTTTGATAAATCCAAGTTTGCTGGATTTTGCCAGAAAATTGCAGAAGGTGTACAGCAGGGAGATCTCCTTTCCCAGTACATCTTCAAGAAGGCTGGGGAGATACTGGGCAAACATATTGTGGCAGTTTTGCCAGTGATTGACCCAGTCTTGTTCCAAGGGAAGCTTGGCCTCCCCATTGTGTGTGGGGGCTCAGTGTGGAAGAGCTGGGAGATGCTGAAGGAAGGCTTTCTCCTGGCACTGACTCAGGGCCGAGAGCTGCAGGCCCAGAAATCCTTTTCCAGCTTTACCCTGATGAAGCTACAGCATTCTTCTGCACTGGGAGGTGCCAGCCTAGGAGCCAAGCACATTGGATACCAGCTTCCCCTGGACTATAGCATCAACACCATTGCCTTCTTTTCCTATACCTTCTAGGGCCTGCACCCCCTCCCCCATCCAGCTGACAGTAAGTGTTAGAAGAAGGAGCTTTTTTGTTGTTAAAAACATACATGGAAGAAAATAAATGCACTTTACCCGCCCCCCCCAAAAAAAATCAGTGTACAAAATATATATATGAATAGGGTTTCCATATACTAACTATGAACTATGCAAAACATTCCTCACTTAGAATAACATTAAAAATTAACATACTTAGGAATGAATTTATCGAAAGATGCTTTATACAAAACTATACCAATGAAAGAAATTTTAAAAAATACCCTAATAAATGAAAAAAGACATTCCATGTTCACAGATTATAAAAATAACTTGTTAAAATGTCCTAGATGACTTATAGATATAATATAATCTCCATCAAAATGTCAATAATATGATTCACAGAGATAGAAAATGAAATCCTAAACTTCAAATGACCCACAAAAAAACCTTGAATAGACTAACCAAAACTGAGCAAAAAGAACAAAGTTGGAGATGTCATGCATCCTGGTCCCCAAATCTACTACAAAGCCATCACAGTAAAAACAATATGGTACTGGCATGAAACCAGACACACAACACTAATTGATCATCCACCCCAAATCAATTAATTTTAACAAGATACCAAAAGGAAACAGTACAGAAAGAAGAGTCTCTTCAGTAAATGGTATTAAGAAAACTGGATATCCACTTGATAATGAGTGAAATTGGATCCCTATCTTATGCCATATACAAAAATCAACTCAAAGTGGATTAATGATATAAATGTAGATTTGAAAGTCTAAAACTCCTGAAAGGAAAAGTGTGGTGATATTTTATATATGCTCTAACAAATAAAGCTTGTCTGAAGATCAGAGGGCAGAGTCAGCCACAGAGTTAGCCATAGAGGCCAGTCAGTGGTAGCACACACCTTTAATCCTAGCACTCAGGAGGCAGAGGCAGACAGATCTCTGTGAGTTCAAGGTCACCCTGAACTACCTGAGATTGACCCAGTCCAAAAGAGAAACAAAGCCAGATGCTGATGGCTTACACCTTTAATCTCAGGACTTGGGGAGTCACAGCACTAGGAAGGTTGAGACAGGAAGTGATATGGCTAGGCAGAGAAAGGAATATAAGGCGGGAGGAGACAGGAGCTCCATGTCCTTTAGGCTGAGGAGTTGGTGAGATGAGAGGTGGCTGTGGCTTGTTCCTTTGTCTCTCTGGTCTTTCAGCATTTACCTTAGTGTCTGGCTCTGGGTTTTTATTAAGATCAGTTAGGATTCGTGCGACAGAAGAGTTTTTTGATGTAAGTCTTTGTGATAATTTTTTAGTTAGGACAACAAATATCCAGATGACAAAAGCAAAAATAGGCAAATGTTACTATATTAAAAAAAAGTTTTCACACAGTGTCTTAGTTAGGGTTTCTATTACTGTAAAGAGATACCATGACCACAGCAACTCTTATAAAGTAAAATATTTAACTGGGGATGACAGCTTATAGTTTCAGAGGTTCAGTCCATTATTATCATGGTGGGGAGCATGGCAGTGTGCAGGCAGTAGTAGCTGAGCAGGCAACAGGAAGTGGACTGAGACACTGGGTGGTGTCCTTAGCCTAGGAAACCTCAAAGCCCACCCCACAGTAACACACTTCTTCCAACAACGCCATTTCTATTCCAACAAAGCCACACCTCCTAATAGTGCCACTCCCTATGAGATTATGGGGGCCAATTCCATTCAAACTACCACACACAGCAAAGGAAGCTGTCAATCCAATGAAAGGCACACTCCCTGCTGGGAGAAAATACTTGTAAACCATGATAGGGAACTGATGTCCAAAATATGTAAGGATCACACACAACTCAAAAGTCAGAAAAACAAAATAACCAGTTGAAGAAAAAAAAAAAAACAGGCAAAGGGCACAAATGTACATTTTCCCAAATAAAACATAAAAATGACCAAAAAAATAAATAAAAAAATAAAAGAAGTTGGACATCACCAAAATTAAGGAAAAAATGCAAACAAGTCACTATTATAATGAGGTTTTTTGCCTCACACTTGTTAGCATGATTTATTCTATTATTAATAAAAACTTGGGAGTCAGATATGGGGGAAAAACCTGATTGATCAGAGAAGTGGCAGAGCATCGATCAGTGACCTCCTCTCTCTCTCTCTACTTCCCTGACCCCAAAGGCCCTGTGATCTTCCTAAGCCCCTCTGTACTACTTTCTGTGTCTTTCTATATGTCCTGGATCTTCCAAACCTCTCTGGCTATTTTGGTCAGCTAGTAGCTAGCTCCACCCTCTGGTTCAAGGTAAACTTTATTACTAGTCTTGGGAGTGTTAGTGTATAATCAAAATACCCCAAAACATTTCCTCCTTTTTGTCTAAATGAAAAGGGAAGGTTTTAACTCTAACATGGTAAAACTATATACAATTATCAATTAAGAAGTGCATTCACAATGTCCAGTCCATTAGTATTTGACAAATTCAGAGAAAACATTCCATTATCTATCCTATCTTAGTGAGTCCAAAGTTTTTTTTATTTAATTTACTTTCTATCATAACTAAGGAAAACTGTTAACTATAACTATCTAGTCTTTAACCCCATCAGAGACCTGAGAAGGATATAATATTACCTGAGTAAACAGGAAATGCAGAGCAATCAACTTCCAAAACTATAGAAAGGAAAGAGACATCTAACTGCCTGGACAGTCACCCCAAGGTTCCTCTGCAACATTGGGGCATTCATCTTTGGCCTATAGGCCTAGAATATCTGACAGACTTTTTGTGAAGCAAAATTTTTGCAGAATTGTGTCTTACCTTGTCTTGGCAAAGTTTGGCAGTTGCCTTTTTTTCTGTCCTGCTTGTCCACTTTGGGCAGCAGTCAAGGCAAGGACAGTTTTTTGCCCAGTGGCTAACTTTGCCACAAAGAAAGCAAACTCCATATAGAGGTTATTCAATGTCCATCATCCTCTTTTGAAGTAAATTAGTGCTGCCAAGAGCACACATGTCTCACTGTTATAAAAGACCTTATGTTACAACAATGTTTTAAGTGGCATATTCTGTAGGTCTCCAAAGTGTTTGAAGACCATCTATCTATTTTAAAATATATCTTTGTTTGACATTGAAAACATACCTAACATGACTCTAACTTTGATTGTTATAGATGACTAATTACTAATCTGTATTTACTATCCTAAATAGCTTTCAAGGATTAGAACTTTACATTAACTTTTCAAATGAGCTGCATAGGTATAATATCTTAAAGAATACAAACATATACAGTATAACAAAAAATAACCTTAAATTTGTATCAATATACAAAAATCCATACCAATGTGAACTATTTGAGATTAGTAGTTGCCTTTTTAGTTTAAGAGTTGATTTAGCTGGGCAGTGGTGGCACACGCCTTTAATCCCAGCACTCGGGAGGCAGAGGCAGGTGGATCTCTGTGAGTTCAAGGCCAGCCTGATCTACAGAGTGAGATACAGAACAGGTACCAAAACTACAAAAAGAACCCTATCTTGAATAACCGCACCCCCCAAAAAAAGAGTAGATTCAATAATCTACCCTTTAATACTACCATTCCTATATCCCTCCTTTTTATTTTCAGAACAAGATCCCTGAATCAAATCCCCTTTCCTTAGTTTCCTCTCTGACTATGACCAATAACAACTTGCAACTAATCACCTAAATTATGATAAACATTGATAATTCACCAAATGACCAAAAACCACCCACCCCACCTTTGGAGAATGTGGGTGTCTTGTTCTTTTTTTGTTGGGTTTTTAGTTTGTTTGTTTTTTGTTTTGTTTTTTCAAGACAGGGTTTCTCTATGTAGTTTTGGTGCCTGTCCTGGATCTTGCTCTGTAGACCAGGCTGGCCTTAAACTCACAGAGACCCGCCTGGCTCTGCCTCCCGAGTGCTGGGATTAAAGGCATGCACCACTGCCACCTGGCCTGGGTGTCTTGTTCTTGAAATTACTTCCTGTTGTCTGGGGGCACCAACATCTTTAAGGGACCTTGAGAAAATCGAGATAATGATCAAGTCCTGAGAGGGCTAGATGTTGTGCAGTCCCTGTGATGGGAAAGTGAAGGGCTTATCTTAAGTCCTGACTGGAGTAGTGTATGAGGCTGGATCATTTTCACTAACCACTTTGAACTTGTCCTGAGCAGCTTGTAGTCCTAAGCTGATCTTTGGGTGGTATTTGTCAGCTTAATGGTGTTACCACAGTCCAGGTGGATTTGTTGTTGTGGGGCCCCATCATCTTTATGGAAACTTCAAAGGTCGATGTTAGGAATGGTCATGGTTCACTGCAGAGAATTAAACACTTTAAATGTCATATGCAGCAAATCTTCAAGAGGTTAAAAGACCACAATTTGTTAAGGACATCTGGGGTATACAAACTTAATTCCCAGTTACCTATTTCAGACTCAAGACCAAAATCACATACAGGAAGCTAAATGAACCTATTTCTAGAATTGGTTAGTGCTCTATATAACAGAAAGCACGCGTGCGCACGTGTGTGTGTGTGTGTGTGTGTGTGTGTGTGTGTGTGTGTGTGTGTGTAATATATGTGTGTATACATACATAATCTTATAAATTTTGAGATAATATTTATACCTTAAGAAAAGTTCTAAAGAGTCAAAACACAACCAAAGGATTATGAGGTTGGTGACAATAGAATAGTCTCTTAATTTTGGTTTGTCTTCTGTTCCATACCAGGTGGCTCTTCTGACATGAGACAGAGATTTTGGATGTTCTTTGAACAAGCATGCTTGGTTTTAAAGAAGGATAGAACCACATTCCAACTCCAAAGCCAGCTTTGATTTTTAATTGAATTGGGACCACAAAAAGGCAATTTGCTTTATATTTCTATAGAGAGCAGTAGAAACAAACATTTGGGAAGATTTATGAGATTTTATCCTTTTGGAAGTGTGCTGTACCACATGGCCAATTTACTCTTTTTCTTGTGACATTTTTTCTTCATGATTCGTCCTTCTTTTTCTAGTGTCTCATTTGTCCAGTGGTCCTTAGATTCCTTTGTTGGATGCTTTTATTATCCTGGAAACACAAAAACAAAGCCCTGCTTTTTTTTTGGTAGGTTATATCTGATCAAATAAAAAGTAATTGTTAGTCTTACAAGTTAGTTTAGATTGAATGACCACTCTATTTGATGAGCTATTGTCTCTCCTAATTAAGGGGTCTCTCCTATTCAAATCTAATCTTGTCAATCTTGACGGTATCTGTAGCTTTTCTTCTTTTGTGGAAACAAAAGCAAAACCTCTTCCCCAGCATTACCCATATCCTGGTTTCCATTCTGAGGTCAACACATCTTTAAAGTACACAGGCTGATTTAATTCAGCAGGTTTGTTTTCGTTTTTGTTTTCCTACTATCCAATGTCTTTCTGCAACTGTCGTTCCTTTCTCATTAGCATTTAAAAATTTAAAGTTAATAGAGCATTGTGCAATCTAACTCTGGGGGTCTTTATTACCCCTTTCTGTTTATTAAGCATATCTTTTAAAATGCAATTAGATTTTTCTATAATTGCTTGTCCTATAGGATTGTGTGGTATATCTATAATATGCTTTATATTATAATATGAAAAAATGGTTTCATTTTACTAGAGACATATCTGGAACAATGTTGTTCTTAATTTGTATGTGAATCCCCATGATGGCCATAACCTCTAATAAATGTGTGAATACAGTCTGCTTTTTCAGAACAGTTGCCCATGGAAATCCTGACTGAGTATCTATGGTTTGGTGCGTATACTTTAATATTTCAAACTCTGCAAAATGAAACACATCAGTCTCCATTCACATGGAGATACTGCCATTCGAGACAATGCAGACTAACCCAGGGGGACATTGTGTTCAGAGAAATAAGCCACATACAGAAAGGAAAAGATTGCATAATTTCACTTGCATGTGAAAATTTTAAACAAAACGAAGAGTCCAATTGGGCATGGTGATGCATGCCTGTGATTCTTCCATCATTCCTGTAGAAAATGACTGCTTTGTTTGAAAGCTTTTGGCTTAGAATCCACTGATATCTTACTACCTTTTTTTCAACTTAAAAAGCAATGGAAATGGACTTTAAAAACAATGAAAAGACAGCTCAGTTCTTAAGAGCATTTGCTGCTAGGCAAAGGACCCGGTTTCAGTTCTCAACACCCACATGGTGGTTACAACCGTCTATAACTCTAGTTCTAAGGGATCTGATGCCCTCTTACAGCTTCAGTGGGTACCAGGTATATATGTACACATGGTGCACATACATACATGCCAGCAACATGCTCATCTACATAAAATAAAAATAAATAAATCTTAAGGGGAAAAATGCCAGCGATGGGGATAGGAGATTAATCAGTGGGTAATGTGGACTGCAATTTGGAGCTGAGGTAAAAGTCTGACAGGTATGGTAGCCTACCCATAATCACCCAGCTTGCCTTAAGGATCTGCTGTCTGTGAGATTATGGGTAAAGAGACACCATGACCACGGCAACTCTTATGAAGGAAAACATTTAATTGGGGTGGCAGCTTACGGTTTCAGAGGTTCAATCCATTATCATCATGGAAGGAAGCATAGGATCTGTGCCCTCCTAGAACAATGCTGCTTCCTCCATGCCAACAACTCCCAACTGGTTTGAAATGGAGCCTAAACACACAGGGACCAGACAGAAATTTCTTCTGGTTCCCTGCCACCTATGGCTCTGCCCCTTGATCACTCCATTCCTCCTTATTATCTTCATATTTTCTCTTTAGCTTGTCTTTTAAATGTTTTCATTACTGAACTTCACTGTATACCCATACAAAATGTTCCACACACACTCCCTCAATAACTCTCACCCTACAAACTGCTCCATGTGCTCCTGATACATCTGCAAAAGGCCTTTTAGAAGCTGTGGAGAAACTCTGGCTAAAAGGAACCTTCATCCCTCTCACCCCAGACAAGATACAGTTCATTACTCTGCTGTTTTCTCTTGTTCACTTCCTTTGAAGTTCTGTAGCTCCCTCCTACTTCTGCTAGGCTCATTTTGGTACAACAGTCCTGGTGATGGGACCAGTCACTGTTACCCTGAATACTCTATGTCCACTTTCTTTTACCTTGATATATGTCTAAGATTTGGATTTGATTTTTTTAAAGTCAGTTGGAAAATTACAAGCTTAAAATTGAAAGTATTTATTATAGATGATGATATACCCAAAAAGATAGGGTAAAGTATATAATTTATTTGTTATAAGATGTGGAAACTCTGGCTTTTCTTTTAATATATGTGTTTTTCCATTCAAGAAAGCCTTTCTTTATGGTATATAATCTATCCATGTTAAAGACCCTCTGGGACTTACAGGGAGGCATATTTGTTGAACTGGGGATACTACATGTGAGCCTACATTATGTCTCTTTGGATTTACCTGACTGTGAAACAGATAGCTGAGTAGCTGGAATTATCTTTAGTTTTATGGACTTTTTAAAAATTAACATTTAGCCGGGCAGTGGTGGCACACACCTTTAATCCCAGCACTCGAGAGGCAGAGGCAGGCGGATCTTTGTGAGTTTGAGGCCAGCCTGGGCTACCAAGTGAGTTCCAGGAAAGGCGCAAAGCTACACAGAGAAACCCTGTCTCGGAAAAAAAAAAATAACATTTATTCATTTATTTATACACATGTGCCACAGTATAGATGTGGAAGTCAGAAGACTTCTTCTAACATTAGGGGCTCATAGTTAAAACTCAGGTCATTAGACTTTACAGCAAGCACCTTTAACCACTGAGCAATCTTACTGGCACATGACAGTCTATTTCTGTGCTATTATTTATGTGGTTCTGAAGACTTCTTCCTGTTTTCCTTATACCAGTAGTTCTCAAAATGATGTCTCTCAAAAAGAGATTTGATTGTCATAGTTTTGTTACTGTGTGTCTGAGACAGATTCTATATAGCTCAGGTGATAAATCAGCCTGCCTCCATCTTAGGCTTAAAAGCCATGTTATAGTAAAGACAAACTAGGTTCATTCCTGTTTATGATCAAACCTCTGTTTCTCAAGGCCTGGGCTATGCCCCACCTGTAAGCTTAGCTGCAAATGGTTCTGTATTCCTGTTTCAGGAAACTGCAAACATGTCTTTATTTCAAACAGTTATTATAATCGTTTTGCAATCCTACTGTTGTTTTTATGTTCGATACTTTGTTATGACTACCTGTTGTTATGACAACCTTGATATCACCACCTTGCAATCATGTCTTTGTTTCAGGAGATCATTATGACCAACTTGTTATGCTTATGTTCTACTTCTGTAATCCCTCCTATTTTGCCAGCCAAACCTTTCATTTAGAAAGCCCCTTCCCCTGACATATAAAAACCTTCACATCCAATGCTGAGCTCTTGAACCCCACTTTTATGGAGAGTGAGCCTGTATACATGAATTTTTTAAAAATAGCTTGCTTTGATTAATTTGGCCATGATGATTTGGGTCAGTGGTCTTCCTCTTTGAATCTTTGGGATGAACACAGGCTAGTGTGGAACTCACTGGGTAGCCCAGGCTGACCTCAAACTTGAGTGTTGTGATTAGCCTATGCCACCATGTGCAACCTGAATCAGGACTTCCAGTCTTTCAGACTTCTATTGTGAGTTTCTGTTGCAGTGAAAAACTAGGGGTTAGGCAGACTCCCTGGTAGGCAAGCAGATAGGGAGAGTGTCCATAGACAGGTAATAAAGGTAGTGGACTTCTAAGACGGCCAGCTTCTTCTTCCTCCTCACTGGAGACAAAAAGGCTGGCAGCTTTTTTTTTTTTTTTTTTTTTTTTTCTCCCACCAGCAAGCCCCTGTTGATGGGCTGGTTCAACAAGTTCAAGACTGGATCATGACATGTCATTCAACAGTTCGGGGCCAACCAACCATCCTATCTTTCTTCAAATTGATCAACCCTAAATTAGCCGAAGAAAACTTTTCAGAGGCCTTAAAACCCTCAGCCCTTGACAGGAAAATGGATGTTTGCTTCCTGAGTCTGCCCTCTGCTTTGCAGAGGACCTTTTCTCTGTATGTCTGCTGTGTGCCTTTATTTCCTCACCCCCAGTAAACACTGTCTTTCAACTGCTGATCCTGTCTGCGGTACTTGGGAGTTCTCTTCTGCCACCTGTTGCACTTCAGATTTTTCCTACCTTTTAATTCTTTTACTGGCAGAGAAAACACACCCAATCCAGACCCCTAGACTGTATCATTTCAAGACCCCTAGAATATGTCAGCAGCTCTTACCCTGAATCTTTCCCAAGTTTCTTACTGGCCAAAAGAGAGGACAGGTGACCAAGAGGACAGTGCAGGAGGCAGAGAGGGAAGGTAGTTAAGTAGCTCGCTCAGGACCTGCACAGCCCTCTCTGGTTCTGCAATAGCTGCTCCAGTCAGTGCTCCCAAGTACCCTCCACTGCTCACAACAGCAACTTGCTTCTGGGATTTTCCCCCTCTTCATCTGGTCATTTATAATCAATTCCCTCCTCCTCCCTCAGCTGCCAATCACTGCTCCTTTTAGAGATAGGTGGCTTAAGGGAAGAGGCTATGATGTTTCTATGATGTTTCTACTACAGTGTATGTTTCACTTCCTTCTGTTAGTGTATGAACTTTCTGGCCATCTCCTCCACTGATCCCTTCCTTTTTTCAGCATTTGATCTGCTTCTTGAAAGGGCATACTCTTCGAATATGTCAGTATAGGGGCCGTTGCTTTGTGAAATAGCATTCTTTTACCCATATGGGTTGAGTGTGTACCCACCTACACACTGTGCAAGAAAAGTGTGTTCACACCCACAATTTGGTGCATCAGACTGAATTCTTTGGCTTTTCCAGCTTGGCTAAAGGACTCCGAAACAAGAATCGGTCAGTTCTCCACCAGGAGCAGGTCATACGCTCCCTGAGTCACATACGTTCTCTCCTGAGATGCTACCCATCTTGCAGCAAAGAGCTTGTTAAAGAGTACCACCAGCAAAACATGTGTTTCCTCATGTTTCTGTCAAAACAGACCTTAGGGTTCAAAGGAATGGTAATATTAAAACAACAAGGTTGGGAACAGAAAGTG